AAAAAATCTATTTTGTTTGTAAAAGCATGGGTTAAACAATTGCAAAATAATGTCATGATGATCACCAAGTTTACATTAGTCACATGTAAGGAATAGAATTTTTATAGAAAACAACTATTTTGAAATATATATATAAAAAAAAAAAAGAAGAAGAAGAAGAAGAAAAACATGTAGGCATAAATAATAAAAAAAGGAAAAAATTTAGGCATTATTTCTCGTAGTAGTAGAAGATGAATCCCTTTAACAAATTTGTATAAAATGAAAATCAATAAAAACCAAAGAAATAAATGTACAATATAATTCTCAAAAAAAAAAAATAGCAGCTAAATTTCAAGGAAAAACCTAAATTTATATAGGTTTGAAGGCTGGATGGAAATGCAAATATAATATAAATAATATTTAATAGTATATATTATATATAACATTATATTATGATACATGTTATATATAATATTATAATGGTATAATAAATAAATAAACAAATATATATATATATATATATATATATATATGATGAGTAAATAAAAAAAGTTGAGTAAGAAGAACAGTAAGTGGTACTGCAATGTTGGAGGATATGCGGCTGAGAGTGAAAATGGAGTAGATATATATGTAGGGTATATTAAAGTAGGTATTAGGGGCATTTTTGTCTCAAAAATATATGAGAAAGCTCAATGTCAAAACAGCTCCCTTTCAGCTAACTTCCGTCAGTTAAATCACCCCCCTCGGATATTTGAGGGGGGTTTTTTGGCAAAAAAATAGAAAAAGGGGGTTTAGTGCAAAACACAGATAAAAAAGGGGGGTTTAATGCAATTCACTCTTATTATTATGGTGTTGAAATTTATAAATAGTAGCCTTTTCCTTTTTCTCTCTTTCTTTCTTATTGTCCTATTGTCTCTGTTAATTACCTTTAAGATGTAGAAATACCATTAAAGAACAACTACTTGTGACATTTAAATGGGAAAATTAATATAGTCTTCTAACAAAAGTAGGCAATCCTTATTTTGAACAGTGCAAAACCGTGAAATATTATAACATTTAACCCTTTCTTGCATCTGAGAGAGAAAAAAATTACATTAACTCTAATCACATAATCACAAGAATATCGTTGGGACAATTACAGGTGATGAGACGGTGAGAGGGGACATACAGGCACATGCTAGTTGCCACATCAGCTTATGAATTGACTTTCCATGTTAGGGTGAAATATTAAGTTCCTAAATTCTAATGGGCGCATGAAAAAATAGTAGCTACTTTGCCATTAATACCAAGTAAGTTATTTTGTCTTGGAATATACAATTTCTTAAAAAAAATTGAAGAAAAAAAGCTTGGTCCTCTTTCTTTCTTTCTTATTGTACAACTGCGTCCATTAATTACTTACAATTTGTGGAAATACCATTAAAGAACAGGTTGTGACGTTTAAACAGTAAAAATAAATCTATTGCTCTAACAAGAATATGTAATCCTTATTTGAACAACACAACACCGTGATACATTATTACATTTAACTCCAGTAAAATCATCACGAGATTATGGTCGAGAGAAGTGCAGGTGGTTAGACAATCCGTGGGCACATAATTGCACTCGCTAGTTTCCATAACAACTTCTAAAACAACTTTCCATGTCAGGGTGGATTACTTTAACTCCTCATTTAAAATACAATTTGCATAATCCCGCTTATAGATTGCACATATAGGAGAGTGGATTCTAAAAATATTTTCTCAAGAACCCTATTTAATTTTTCTTCACGCCACGAAATATTTAAGTCAATGACACTCTCATGGTTAGTCATTGAATTCAAGGCCTGCTGTTTACAATTTGTATAATTTCCCATTTATCGTTATACATTTGTCATTGGTATAGTAATTTGTAGTGAATAGCCTGTATGAGTAACCACAATGTATTCCAGCTGAAGTTAACCATATCTCATATCTTCACCTATAAATAAGCTCTGCAACAGGATACCAAGTAGAACATAAATTTTTATACAGGGTGCTATATTCATTTTTGTACCCTAATCCATGGATTCAGAAAATCTTCTTACAAATGCCATGGCTACGACTGAAGAAAGAGTGGAACAAGAAAGGAAGAAGTACCGACCGCATGAGATTTGGCTACTTTGTAAGGACTGGTTGGACGGTGGAGAATTTCCTGAGGCTCTTAGTCTGGAGGATATACGAGATCTTCATAGTCACCTTGAAGAGGTACACAAGCAACTTAAGGACAGGATTGAGATCCTTAAGGGCTCCAGCTCTACTCCGGTCACTGATGAGAATGGGATTAAGAATGTTGCAACTCATGGCAAAGAAAGGCAATCCCCGTGAATTTAATTGATCATTGAGCTTCTATGTTGTGTTTGTTAGAGATGAAAGTGCTTAGTGTGTTGCTTTTACCTTGAATAAATGTATCAATATATGATACTCCGTTTTTAGTATTCTTAGTTGATATATTTTGCATCAGTGACCTCTTTAATGCCTTAGTTGTTTTGTTACATATATATGTCATTAGAGCTCTTCAATGGGGTAGGTTTTTTCCTTCTTCCAAATCTCAGCATTGCTGTGCCAATCACACTGCATTTCCTTACAGTATGGATGGTGGTATGTTAGTCATAGGATGTCAAACATATACAACATTGCTGTTTGTCATAGGATGTGAACCACATACAGCATTGCTGGTTTGGATGAATTTCTTGCAAATTTTACGGTTTCGAACGGCTCCAAACTATATAAACCACAGAAGGGCAACAGATACCTACCCAACCCTTATGCTTCAGTTTTTCAATTAAGAGAAAGGCAGGTGGTGCAGAATTCAGGATGCTCCATGTGAAAAACTAAGAGAGGTTTTTTTTTTTTTTTTTTTTTTTTTTTTTTGATAAGTAAAATGTATTAGAAAGCGTTCAAAAGGGTAACACGTCTCAAGCTGTACATAAACAAAATGGAACCTATGAACTCAAAGAGTCCAAAAGGTCCACAATATCCTCTAGAGAAGAATAATCTCTCCCCCAACCCCATCAAAAAAGAGTACAAATAATAGAAAATTTCAGCACCCCAATGGAGGACTCCTTCCCATCAAAAGATCTTTTATTCCGCTCTTTCCAAAGGCTCCACCAAACGCAAAAAAGGGTCACCCTCCAGAAGTCTTTCGCCTGAGCCCCCACCCATTGGCCTCTCCAGATATCCAATAATTCCCGAGAAGTCCGAGGCATGACCTAATAAATACCAAACAAACCAAAAATGAGACTCCAACAGTCATGGGCCACAGGACAATGCAGCAGAAGGGGATCCACTGACCCCCATTAATCTTACAAAGACAATACCGATTAACAATGATATGTCTTCTCTTCCTCAAGTTGTCCAAAGTCAGAATCTTACTCCAAGCTGCAGTCCACACAAAAAAGGCCACCCTAAGAGGTGCCTTAGACAGCCACAGCATCTTCCACGGGAAGGTGGTACCATGAAAACCAGAGAGGCGCACAAAGAAGGACCGGACCTGGAACATCCCCTGTGTAGAAGGCACCCAAATCAGGGAATCTGCCCCAGTGCCCTCCACCTCCTGTTTGTACAAGAGAGCCAACAAACCAGTGACATCATCCAACTCCCAATCCTGAAAAGATCACCGGAATCGCACATCCCAAGACAACCTCCCGCTATCAAGGCGATAGCAATTAGCAACCATAGCATGTTTGTCAACAACAATCCTGAACAGCCTTGGGAACAAAAGAGCCAATGGCCTATCCTCGCACCAGGAGTCCTCCCAAAACCGGACATTCCTTCCATCCCGAACTCTGAATCTAAATATTTGCCTTTCTGCTGTTGGACAGCATCTAAAACTTAAAAAGTTTTGAATTAAATGATTTACATGTTGAGTGGTGGATGACCTACATAAGCTCAATAAGGTAGCCAATAAAGGTGCATAGTCATTTTCGCCAGTGATACCATATACGTTATGGCGTTATTTATAGAGGTTTTTCTTGTTGAACTAGTGGTTGTAGGAATGAGATTGGAGTTCAATCTTGGGATGATCGAAGAGACACTTTTGACTTTGCTACAAAATCAGGTTTAGGACAGAAGTATCAAGCCAGCGGAAAAATGATATGGGAAGTCAGGGAATAGGGATGTGGTAAAGGCATAATAAAAGATGAGCAAAATTTGACATGGGATTAGTTTGGACTTCGGTGACAAATAAACACCAAGAATAAATTGACAAAATGAGTAATCCAATCATTCTCTTTTTGATGTCTGTCTATGCCTATGCCTACACAGGCTGATGGTCATGGACTCTTTAGTGTTGATATATTGTTCATAACAGGCTGATGGTCATGGACTCTTTAGTGTTGATATATCGTTCATAACAGGCTGATGGTCATGGATTCTTTAGTGTTGATATATCGTTCATAGTCTGGTCATTGTAGATGCTGTCGAAAATTAAAACGTCTAGTAAAGATAAGCTAGCTATTAAGGTTTCATCAATTCATTTTGAGAATGGAAAAAACAATGCTTTCTATTAATTGAATAATTAAAATCTAACATTTAAAAGCAGATTAATATTTTTGACAACCTGCTCTTGTTTAACTTTGACTTGAGCTGTGAACTTTCTTTTAAAATACTCCAGTAATTTATTTTCCCTCCACATAATTGAAGTCATCTTATTCTCTAAATTGGTCTTCTATGTTGATCCGTCATACCCTTTATTCTCTATTTCATAAATGGAAAACAGTTTCACAATTTGTTTGAGTAAAACTTAATTTATTATAAAAGCAGATTCTTTCCCCTGGAGATAACTAAAGGCATATTATAGTTTTTTCACCAAGTTTCACTATATTTTATTGAACTGAAGGGGAATTTTTATTTTTTTTTCTTTTATATTCTCTTTTTGAATATTTACTTTGTATTGATTACCTGATTGTTGCCAAAGGAACAGATGTTTGTTTGGAATTGGGGTAAATTATATTGAAGATATTCTTCCAGTCTTTTAACATTTGTGATGAAATCTGTAATCAACAGGATGAAGAAAAAAAAATTGCTTTTTTTTTCTCTCTCTCGGATATCCTTGGCCAAGGAGACCGGCAAGCAGGGACTCATCAATTTCAGATTCAATAGACCTCAATCAGGGGCCTTTCCTCCCTTGGAGTAGGTTGGCAACAGGATTGCTTGATGTTGTGGTAGGGCAGTTCTCTAATGCAGACTCTATTTCAACCTTTGGAGGTTTTCTTAACAAGCTTATTCTTTCCTCTATGAGCCAACAAGTGCAAGGTACTTCCAAACTTATCATAGTAAATGGTTCTTGTTCTAATGAGGCACAATTCTTTGTCCATTAGTAGATTTTTGCACACTCATTAGTAGTTTTTCCTAACGAAGGGTAGAATTGCGGCTTGTTCGAGCAACTGTTGTGGTTTTCCTTCAACAGTCCAAATTTCTGTAAAGCATAACAATGTTGTGTAGGAGTAGAAATGGGTTAGATTGGTTCAAGAGCATTTTGTAACATTTATACGCTCAATTCAGAAGTAGCTTGTTCGGTAAACAAATTATAAGGCCCTAACATGTACCCTACCTATTTAAAATCACATGAACCTAAGTGTGAGATGCTTAACCATTTCTCCCCCATTATTTGAGTTATTTTCAAAACTTTTGACTAGAAATTAAGAAATAAAATTATTTTTAAATTTACTCAGAACATTTGATATTCAATTCAAGTAATTATGGTAATTAGTAATAATTAAGTTAACATTATTAAGTACGTGTAACTTTTTACATAAGATAAATAATTAATCATACAATTTATTTATTCTTTTGATAGAAAAGCATAGTAAATGGCTGTGTCAGGTTAGGAGGGATCGACCTAAATCTGAACTGCTTCTCTTAACATGCCAAAATTCCTTAATCAAACCCTTAAAATTAGAGGTCACATTCAAGTAGGCAGATGGGTTGGGTAAAAAGATCTATCCCTATTATTAGTACCCCCACAGACCACGTCCCGGGGTAGGGGCAACTAATGCTACAAGCTGAACTAAAACACAGTGATAACACTCGTGCTTTAGCCTGTGTGATGACTTCCATGAGAAATGGAAATCTTAAACCAGACCTAGCAAACTGAAAGGGAAAGGATATTTGTACTTGCGCACGAGACTGTGGCAACTTTGTAGATTGTCACCCTTAGCATGAAGTTGTCCTTATTCTTTAATTTACTTTTTTGCTAATATTAGCTGAGGTCCGTGATGTGCATAAGAACTTTAATCTGTTGTTGCTTGAATGGGGAGACTTAGGTGCTCTTTGATAAAATTAAATATTAAGTATTGTAAAAGTTTAGTACTTAATTAGTAGTGTAAGGAACTGAATTTACAGAACTTTTCCTTATTAAGTGTAAAATTACGAATCCATTTTAGATTTTAAAGCTACCTTTCACTTGACTTATTGAAGACATAGGTCACCTTTGTCTGACTTAGAACTCGTACTATTTTAGGTGAAATTTTTTGTTTATTTAAGGGACTAATTAATTTTAGGTATTTATTGATTATTGTCGGGCAACATCCTAGTAAATCTGGGGAAGAACATGCTAGAAGGAACCCCTTTGCAATAAAGATCTCCATTACTTGCTAGAAATGCCATGTGTCACCTATGCTTTCTTGATCTAGGGAACTTTGGCTGATGCTACAAGAATACCATCAATCTACAAATGCCATGTGTCACCTATGCTTTCTTGATCTTGGGAACTTTGGCTGATGCTACAAGAATACCATCAATGCTTTTTGTGCCCCCGTTCGATGGGTCATCTTCCATACAATTCCTTCATGCCTTTGTTAGTCACTTGAACAACTTTGCCTCTTTATTGAATCACTTGTTGTTTAGCAACTGAATTTGGTACTTATTTTGAATAAGTTGAGAGATCATCCAATCAATTATGTTTGTAACACAATTTGGATATCACTTAAAAGAGTAAAATCCACTTAAAATGGGGTAAAATTTTGGGAGAAGACGACTTGGTTTATCATGAACACTGAACACTTAAAATCAAAAATGCGTCAAAGAAGTTCTTTTTAATACGATCACGTCAAACTTCATCATCTTAAATTTGCAGTGCTTAATCCTCAATTCTACCAAACACCGCCTTAACCAATCAAGTGGTATGATGTGGCCATATGATATAGTGTTATAGACTTCGAAAAAGAGTTCCGACCAAACAATTCACATGATTCATGCATGGACAATAAACTTGTATTTTTGTGGATCTTCATTCAGAAGGAAAATTTGACCAAACATTTGGACTATATAGTCAGCATGTTTAGCATTTTCACGTGACATAAGGTCCCTTACAGCTCTCCAACCAAGCTTCAACCAGGTGGTCGATCATGGGCCTAATACTTGGAAAATGCAAGCGCTGAAATCAAATTAGAACGGAGGTGGAGCTAGGTATCAACTTCTTACTAATGGCCCCAAATAAAAAGAAATAGATTGATCTTGTCAATTGAATTTAATAAGAACTCATTCTTAAAGTCCAAAAATTTGTAGATACTATTATTAACAATTTAGAAGAATTTGAATTTCACATAAATTGTAAAATGGAGGTACAAATTTGCTATATGAGAATTATTTTCTTTTACCTTGGCAAGAAACACACTCACACACCCACTTGGCCTTTGCGAGGACTCGAAGCCTTGACCTTCTATTTTAAACACGCTTCTGATGAGGTTGAAATCATTAGCTTGGTTTTCACACCAAATTTGTTACAATTTTTTATTTATATATACCTAATTTGAGTAGCATGCTTTAAATGCAACTTCAATCCAGAATTTCCAAAGGTTTAATGGAAATATAGGCACTACTTTGCCATTAGTAAGTAGTATGTCATTGCATCTTTGAATATGCAATTGTTTATAGAAATTTAAAGGAGCAATTGTTTATAGAAATTTAAAGGAACGCCTTTCTCCTCTTTCTTTCTTTCTTATTGTTCAACTCCCTTCTGTTAAATACTTGTAATATGTAGAAATTCCATTAAAGAACACCAGGTTGTGGCATTTAAAGAAATCTAGTGCTCTAACAAGAGTAGACAATCCTTATTTTTGGACATGGCAACGCCATGAAACATTATTACACTTGACTATAATGGAGTCATAATGAGAATAATGTAGGCACAATTGCAAGTGTTGAGACAACGAGAGGGGCTTATAAAACCACTTTCCATGTTTGGGTGATTAGCTAATCCGCCCTCATTTAAATTGTTGTCTTCATAATCTGGCCCATAGATTGAAGATATAAAAGAGTGGATTCAAGAAGTCATAATGAGAGTATTGTAGGCACAATTGCACGTGTTGAGACAACGAGAGGGGCTTATAAAACCATTTTCCATGTTAGGGTGATTAGCTAATCCCCCCTCATTTAAATTACCATCTTCATAATGTGGCCCATAGATTGAAGATATAACAGAGTGGATTCGAGAAATCTTCTGTCAAGAACTCTTTTTAGTATTACTTCACACCAACAAATTCTTCAGTCAATAACTCTTAAATGGTGTTATTTAGGTCAAGGCAAGATGCTTACTTATCTTTAAGTGTTGACAAACTTGGTAGCCTAGTTGTAGAACACTAAATGTAAGGTCCCCATTTGTCGTTGTACATCTGTCAGTAGTCTAGTAGTTTGTTGTGAATAGCCAAATGAGTAACCCCAATATATTCCAGTTTCTAGTTAAATGTATATGATATCTTCATCTACATAAGCACTACACCAAGTTATTAAGTAGAACCTAAATATTTATAGAGGGCGCTTTATTCATAATCATATACCCTAATCAATGGATTCAAGAGATTATCTTATGAAATTGATATCCAGGAAGGTAGAAGTTTTGAAGGAAGATGGAGCTACTTCTACATCATTGCATGGTCAATGAAAAATTTCCTGAAATGCTTAATCCAGAGGATCGGAAAGATCTGACTAGCTTCATAGATGAAAAAATTGAGGAAATTCAGCACAAGATTGAAATCCTTAAGGGTTCTGGCTCTACATCAGTCACTAATGAGAGCGAGGTCAAGAATGGAGCTACTCATGGAACAGAGAAGGAATCTCCTTGAAGTTAATTGATTATTGAGCTTCTTCTGTGTTGTGTTTGTTGGTGATTGAAGTGTTTGGTGTGTTGCTTTGCCTTTGAATAAATGTCTTGCATTTAGGTGATGGAAGTGTTTGGTGTGTTGCTTTCCCTTTGAATAAATGTTTCAAAATTTGTTACTCCATTTTAAGTATTCTTAATTGATGTCCTTGCATTTTTAGTAATGTCTTTAATCGTTTGTGTTTCATTACTCATACAAGTCCCTTGAACCTCTCTATACTTGTGCATTAGTCAGAGGATGAAAAACAGAATAATACATTGATGTTTAGTGAATTTCTTACAACCTTAGTGTTTTGAAAGGGGCTCGGGACTATAAACCGCCTAACATAAATCAGTAAAAGCCTAAAAGGGCTACATACCCAGAAATAAATAAATAAAGGGCACATATTTTTTGTACAACCCTTATGCTTCAGTTTTCAAAAAAATTTGTGGGGATGTTCAGTGTGTTACAAAGGCTCAAATACTTGCCTCTCTGCAGTTGGAGACCACCAAAATGATTCACACTTGGGTTGGTGCATGAAATGCATTCTGGGGCACCTAAGAAGGTTGCATAGCCATGATGTGCTTAGTTTGGGGTTGTAGCAGTCCTTGTTCCCAAGTCGAACTAGTAAATTTGAAAAAAGTAAAAAAGAATTGTTTGGTTCTCCAATAAAAGTCCACTATAAAATGCACTTCATATTTAACTTTTAGCATTATTCTATGCAAACTGATTAACTCATAAATCACAACCCAGTACTGTAAATAGGCTGAAATTAACTTGATGAGAGGATATTGACTCCCTGTAATACTTTTGTCTGTCAATCTCAACTTCAAATAGCTAAGTAATTGTCTGTAGAAATTATATTAAAATATTTAAGACATCACTCATTCTTGCTCTTATCACTCGTCTTTCAGAATTATACATCCCTTATAACCCTTTGTGATGGTTCCAAGTTTGCAGGGTCTTGGACTATATAAAAAATTTCACGGAATGGATATAGCTGAGGGTTGAGTTGTGACTGACCGAGACTATGTAAATTTTCCAGAATCAGGCCTGAGCTCAGGCCAAGACAAATCTGGCATCTCCACAAGCTATGTACAAAAATCATACAATTTCAGCTGCACAAACACAAAAAGGGCAAAACAAAAGAGTTAGCTGTTGCATTGTTCTTGTAAATTCTTTTGTGTAAATACAACAACATTCCAACATCATTCATGTACAAACACAGAAGACAAACCATATCCCAATGAAAAATAACATTCCCATGACTACCACTGATCTTCAGTCCTACACAATATCGATATATTGCAAGCCATACACATGCTTTGCTGCACGGCAAAAGTTTCCACTTCCATCTATATCTTCCTCTCTATTGCCAAGATACTGCAAGCAGAAAATAAATAAATCAATAAAATGAAATCATTAACCATAAGAATTATATATGGATCCATACATAACTCAGTTGAGATTTTTCCTAACTTGCAACAAAGTTTAACATAGACAGGAGTATGGAACAAACTACCACCACCAAATTTCTTCCTTCTCAATCTTCATTCTCTCAAACATCACCTGCTCATCATTTTGGACATATAGAACTTACTAGAAAGGCTGTATATACCCCTAATCGAACCTAGAAATAAGACGTGATCTTAAGCTACATCGCTCAACCAAGAACAAAAATATAATAATTTAATTTGTAGTTATTTTCTCACCACCATTGAATGATAATTTCCTATAACAAGGACTACTAGATGACTAAAGACAGTAATTAAGCACTTATATAGCACAAAGAACATTGCATAGATGCAACTCCAACAGAGATTTCCTCTGCAATTCATTCAGAAATGAATGCCAAAAAAAAAAAAGGGAACAAACATGGAAACTTCCCAAGACTAACAAACATTGCATTATCCAGAAGACATATAAGCATAAATGAAATCTTAGGATCCTATAACATCATTTTAGGTTTCTACAGAAAATTAGCAATCACCTATTACTTAAGTGTCAAAAAGTCATAGACTACAATATAAGGACCTGTAATATTCTTATAAGTGTTAGGTCATATAATAGTTGAACTAGCTTTAAGAAGAATTCATCTTTCACTTTCCTCCAATCTCAAAATAAATCCCTGTTTCAAAGATGGAAACGAAGAAAATGTAAATCCATTTCCTTTCACAAAAAATATTCTAATTGGTATCTGATTTTGCAGTATATATTAATGGGCAGACACTATACAATTTCTCAGATATTATTGCATGGTCCTGGACCATGTAGTCTTGGTCAATCACAATTGACACAAAAGCAAATGTGTCAGCTTGTGATTGGCTGGGACCACGTCATTCCGGACTATGTAATAATTTCTCTACAATTCCTACCATAGACGGACCAAAATTGAAACTTAATAATGACAAAAGGGTGCTCACAGCCTATATAGACAAATGTTTAGGGCTGGAGGCCCCTCTCATTACAGGTATGTGAACTCCATTTAAAAATTGTGACTGGTACTTTTATAAGTCTAATTGAATCCACTTGATTTTGGTCCAACTTCGACTAGTTCTGGGTCTTTGATTCATGGCAAGCTCGCTCACATGATCAAAACCAGAGCGGGAACTATTCCTTCACGCTCACCAGGTTCTGATCTCGCTTCCTTTTTCCCGCTTTCCTTGTGAGTTATTATCTTGATTCACTGATAGGATTTATGGGTTTTATCTCCACCCTGTCATCTTATTAATTCTAGAAAATGTTGGAAAGGAGTAATATAAAAGGTTATATTGATGATTGCTTCTTTCTGATGCCTGTGAACTGTAGCATAAGAGCAGCTAATTGGTCAACTAAATCAGATAAAAGTTAGCAGATGATTCTGGATTATCAGTTTGGCAACATCAGCTGCTGTGAGAGTGATGAGGAGATTCTTTGGATGATCAGTTTGCCAACACAAGCATCTATGACAATGACAAGGAACTTAAATCTCCAGATTTCTCATACAACTATGAAGTTTTTCTCCATGGTAGAGAGCTAGAGAAAATTCTTAAAGGCTATTAGATTCCATTGTTTTCGAGAAGGTTCTTTTTTCTTGTGGGACTACTGGTAGTAGAAGTGAGTTGGGCACTGGGATTGTTTCTCTTAGAATGATCAAACAGAATTTTTAATTTCCTACAAAATGAGGTATAAGACAGAATTATCAAGCCAGCAGAACATTGACATAAATATGGGAAGTCAGGTAATTGGGTAAGGGAATAACAAAAGAATTGGAAATTTTGACGTGGGAGTTAGTTTGGAGACAAATGAAAACTAGGAAGAAATTGCCAAAGACAGTAACAACTATTGAATGTCTGAGTTTGTTTGAAGTTCTGGTAATGTGATGTAGGACAAGAGAGCAGCCTTAAATAGATAAAGACGTACAGAATTCAAAGGCTGAAAGTTCAATGAACTAGGGCTGAAATTTGGAGGTTCGATAGTAGAAATGTAGAAAAACAAAGGAGAATTGGCTGGAAATTCAAATAAACAGATTGGTAGAGAGAAAGGATTGAAAACGACCAAAACCTATTGGAATCACACCAATAGGGCCTAGGCATCACACCTAGAGAAGGCCTCACACCCTCAGAATTTGTGAATCACTCACAAAGAAATCTTAAAAGATATTTTTATTCATTCATTGAATGAGTAATCCGAATTACATAGTATCCTTTTTATAATAACCGATGACCCTTGGATTACCCTACAATGGAGGTAATCAAAAGTTGACTCTATCTTTAATAAAGTAACAAATAACTCAATTGATGCAATTTAATCTAATTGATGCAATTTAATCTAATTGATGCAATTTACCAAAACAATGCAATTTCACCATAATTGATGCAATTACCAAAATAATGCAATTTGAACAAACCCTCTAATTATGCAAGACTCCAAGTGGACCCCCTATCGTCTAGCCTGTGCCAAATTAAGGTTTGAGCCTTAGAACCCTCCTTGCCACGCCTTTTCTATACTTTAAAAGGCTGCTGCCACTGTTCTCTACCATAATGTCAGGGCAATATCTACTTTTCTTGGGTTCAAAAACTCATCGTCATGTTTAAGGAAATAATACTTCTGTTTGGAGATGAATGGAAGATTTAAATATGGAATAATGAATGGGATGCAAATGCTAATGCTTTTGTGGAATGGGAGCACGTAAGTCTTTAGACTCAGCATGGTTCGATAATCTGGATATATGTTTGCTTGTTGTTATTGAAGTTTTTCCCTCTCTTTTTGATGTATGTCTATGCATATGCCTAGATCATGTTGATGATTATACTCTTAATGTTGATATATCATTAGTACTCCAGTCATTCTAAAAGCAGTGTAAGATAAAAAAGGTGTAATAATGTTAAACTTGGTCTTAAGGTTTTGCCTTTGTCATTTGGAGAATGGAAAAACAATGCTTTATTTTGATTGAATTGTACATTAGTTGAAATCTAATTTTTAAAATCACTTTAATAATTTTATCCTGTTCCAAGGGTTTAAATTTTAAATTTTGACCTCAGCTGCGAACTTTAAAAACTCAGTAATTTATCGGCTCTCTACAGAAATGGAGTCTTTTTAGTCGTTAAAATTGGTATTTTTATGAGTTTGTTAGGATATATCATAGTCCTTTATTCTCTATATTATGAGATGGAAAGTATTTTCAAAATTTTGTTCATGTAAGAGTAATTTTCTGGTAAAAAAAGATTCTTTTCCCTGAAGCTAACTGAAAACATGACGGATTTTGACCAAGATTCACTATGTTCTATCGGACAAATGGAGAACAAATATCTTCTATTTTTTTTTTTTTTGTTTTCATTTTATCCATTTTTACTTTTATCACATTCCATTTCATATTGATTGCTTGTTTGTTGCCGAAGGAACAAATGTCTGTTTGGCGTTGGGGTAAATTGTGTCGAAGATGTGCTTCCAGATATTTAACATTGATGATGAAATTTGCAATCCAACACGATGAAGAAAAGCAATTCCTCTCTGTCTCTGTTATCCTTGGCCAAGGAGACAGGCAAGAAGAGACTCATCAATCCTTTGATCCAAGGAAGTAAGATGGTGACAGGATTGCTTCAAGTGTAGGCAGTTCTACAATGCAGATCTATAGTTTAAAATATGGATGTTTAAGAGCCAACAGGGGCAAGGTAATTCTAAACCTATCATAAGAAATGATTTTAGTTTTAATAAAGCATAAACAAATGTTTTATTATTATTATTATTTTGCCTTTTTGAAACTCACACACCTACTTTTGCTCCTTTGAGGACTTGAACCTTCGGCCTTCTACTTTAGAAGGTGAGGAAGTACCGCTAGGCTACAGCCCTTGGTGGTAGCATAAATCAATGTTCATTACTTCATTAGTAGAGTTTATGCACCCATGAGTGGTTTTTTCTTCTCCTAAAGAATGATAGAATTGCTATCTTGTTTAAAACTTCATGGGGTTTGTCTTTCAACAGCCCACATGGGGGCAATGAGGGTTCTTAATTGGAACTTGAGGAGAATGGTTCCACTTCTGACAACTCAAGACTTATTTTCTTTTTAAAGATTAAACTATTTGCCCAATGTAAACTTGATAAATTATTTCTATATGAAACAAAAGCAACTAGCAAACCAAATTTCTAAGAGTGCATAGCACTGTGTAGGTGTGGCAATGAGTTAGGTCGGGTCAGGTGCCTTTAGTAACTCATTTATGTGCAATCCAAACCCAGGTTCTTTAATGGACAACCCACGGGGCCAAATCTGTACCCTACCCATTAGGCCTAACAACCATCTATACCCATCATTTTGAATTATTTTTTGGAAAATTTTACTTTGAATATATATATATATATATATTATTTGTAAAATTACTCATTATAGTTAATATCCAATTCAAGTAAGCACTGTATTCAAGAATAATATAATAAGTACTTATAACTTGTTACATTGAAAGAATTTAACTAATGAAAGTTTAATATTATATATATATATAATATTATTATATATATATATATATATATATATATTTTCTTTTAATAAAAATACATAGGATATTGTCCTGTCAGGTCATGATGGGTCAACCGTCAAGAAAAATATGACCTGCTTCTGTAGACATGCCAAAAATCTCGACTGTTAGCACTAAAATAAGCTGACACTTTCTAGTCGGTCAATTTGTAGACTAAAAACTTTCACATAATCACGAGAATTTCGTTGGGACAAGTACAGGTGATGAGACAGTGAGTGGGGACATACATGCACATGCTAGTAGCCGCATCAGCTTATGAATTGGCATTCCATGTTAGGGTTAAATATTAAGTTCCTAAATTCCAATGGGCGCACGAAAAATTAGTAGCTACTTTGCCATTAATACCAACTAAATTATTTTGTCTTGGAATATACAATTTCTTAAAGAAATTGAAGAAAAAAAAGCTTGGTCCTCTTTCTTTTTTATTGTACGACTGCCTCCATTAATTACTTACAATTTGTAGTAATACCATTAAAAATAAATCTACCGCTCTACCAAGAATATGTAATCCTTATTTGAACAACACAACACCATGATAAATTATTACTGTTGGAGAATGTCATAGGAGTGATTTTAGCCTATGATAGAATATTGATTGCAGTGATTTATGGGATTGATTTTAGGAATCCTCCATCAATGTATTTTCCATATTTATCACTTGTATTATTTCACCTATAAATAGAGGTGCTGATTGTAAACAATATTAAGAGAGAAGATTATAAAGATGATGTAGCCGTTTGGGCTTTGTGTGTCAATCCTTGTGTTCTTCATGTTTAAGCTCTCTCTTCAATTTTTATATCTTTAAACTATTACATTTAACTCTAGTAAACTCCTCATCAGATTATGGTCGAGAGAAGTGCTTGGGCACATAACTGCACTTTCTAGTTTCCGCAACAGCTTCTAAAACAACTTTCCATGTTAGGGTGGATTACTTTAACGCCTCATTTAAAACACAATTTTCATAGTCCCGCTCATAGATTGCACATATATGAGAGTGGATTCTAAAAATCTTTTCTCAAGAACCCTATTTAATTTTTCTTCACGCTGCGAAATATAAGTCAATGACACTCTCATGGTTAGTCATTGAATTCAAGGCCTGATGATGACAAGTGTATAGGGTGTTGACAAACTTTCAAGTCTACCCTTTGGATCATACAATTTGTATAATTTCCCATTTATAGTTATACATCTGTCGATGGTCTGGTAATTTGTTGTGAATAGCCTGTATGAGTGACCACAATGTATTCCAGCTGAAGTTAACCATATCTCATATCTTCACCTATAAATAAGCTCTGCAACAGGATACCAAGAACATAAATTTTTATAGAGGGTGCTTTATTCATTTTTGTACCCTATTGGAAAATTTTCTTACAAATGCCATGTCTACGAGTGAACAAAGAGTGGAACAACAAAGGAAGAAGTACCGACCGCGTGAGATTTGGCTACTTTGTAAGGACTGGTTGGACGGTGGAGAATTTCCTGAGGCTCTTAGTCTGGAGGATATACGAGATCTTCGTAGTCGCCTAGAAGAGGTACACAGGCAAATTAAGGACAGACTTGAGACCCTTAAGGGCTCCAGCTCTACACCGGTCACTGATGAGAACGAGATTAAGAATGGTGCAACTCATGGCAAAGAGAAACAATTCGCTTGAATTTAATTTACCATTGAGCTTCTATGTTGTGTTTGTTGGAAATGAAAATGCTTAGTGTGTTTCTTTTACATTGAATAAATGTATCAATTTATGATACTCCGATTTTGTGTTCTTAGTTCATTTTGTGTTCTTAGTTCATATATCTTGCATCAATGACCTCTTTAATTCCTTAGTTGTTTTGTTACTTATATGCCATTGGACCTCTTTAATGGGGTGGGTTTTTTCTTCTTCCTATTCTCAGCATTGTTGTGCCAATCACACTTCTATGGATGGTGACATGTTAGTCATAGGATATTAGGATGTGAACCATACACATTGCTGATTTGGATGAATTTCTTGCGAACTATATAAACCATAAAGGCCTACCTAACCCTTATGCTTCAGTTTTTAAACTTTGAATTGTTGTGGAAGTTTTTAGAAAGGCAGGTGGTGCCGTATTCATGATGCTCCATCTGATAAACTAAGAGAGACATAAATATTTGCCTTAAAGTTTTGAATGAAATGATTTACATGTTGAGTGGTGGATGAACTACATCAGCCCAATAGAGTAGCCAATAAGGGTGCATAGTCATTTTCACCGGTGATACCAAATATGGCTTATGGCATTATTTTATAGAAGGTTTTTCATGTTGAATTACCGGTAGTAGGGATGAGATTGGAGACTGGGATTATTGTAATCTTGGGATGCTCAAAGAGACAATTTTGACTTTGCTACAAAATCAGGTTTAGGACAGAAGTATCAAGCCAGCGGAAAAATGATATGGGAAGTCAGGGAATAGGGAAGTGGGTAAAGGAACAACAAAAGATGAGGAAAATTTGACATGGGATTACTTTAGACTTTGGTGACAAATAAACACCAAGGATAAATTGCCAAAACGAGTAACAAGTGTTGAACTGGAACCACCAAGAATAAATTTGACATGGGATTAGTTTGGACTTTGGTGGCAAATCCTTTCTTCTCGCTGTTGCTATTGAGGTTTCGATCATTTTCTCTTTTTGATGTCTGTCCATGCGTGTGCCTACACAGGCTGATGCTCATGGGCTCTTTAGTGTTGATATATTGTTCATAGTCCGGTCATTGTAGATGTAGTCTAAAATTAAAACTTCTAGTAAAGATAAGCTAGTTATTAAGGTTTCTTCAATTCATTTTGCGAATGGAAAAAACAATGCTTGTAATATTTAAAAGCAGATTAATATTTTTGACCCCCTGCTCTTGTTTAACTTTGACTTGAGCTGTGAACTTAATTTTAAAAACTTCACTAATTTATTTGCTCTCCACATAATCGAAGTCTTCTTATTCTCTAAATTGGTCTTTTAGGTGTATAATATTTTCACAATTTTGTTGGAGTAAAAGTAAATTTATGATAAAAGGAGATTCTTTCCCCTGGAGCTAATTAAAGGCATATTATAGTTTTTTCACCAATTTTCACTATATTTTATTGAACAACTGGAGGTGAATTTTTTTTTTTTTTTTCCTTTTATATTCTTTCTTTCAATATTTACTTTGTATTGATTACATGATTGTTGCCAAAGGAACAGATGTTTGTTTGGCATTGGGGTAAATTATATTTAAGATATGCTTCCAGATATTTAGCATTGCCGATATGTAATCCAACAGGATGAAGAAAAACAATATTTTTTTTTTCTCTCTTGGATCCTCGGCCAAGGAGAACGGCAAGCAGGGACTCATCAGTATCAGATTCGATAGACCTCAATCAGGGGCCTTTGATCCCTTGGAGTAGGGTGGCCACAGGATTGCTTCATGTTGTGGTAGGGCAGTTCTCTGATGCAGACTCTATTTCAATCTTTGGAGGTTTAAGAGCCAACAAGTGCAAGGTACTTCTAAAACTATCATAGTAAATGGTTTTAATTTGAGTGACGCACAATTCTTTGTCCATTAGTAGATTTTCACACACTCATGACTCATGAGTAGTTTTTCGTAAAGGTAGAATTGCGTTCATGCAACTATTGGTGGTTTTCCTTCAACAGTCCAAATTTCTACAAAGCATAACATTCTAGGAATGGTTTCAGTTGGTTCAGTTGCCTTTACTAACATATATATACTCGTTCCAGACATCGCTTGTTTGGTAAACAAATTATAATATATATGCTTGTTCCAGACATCGCTTGTTTGGTAATCAAATTATAAGGCCCAAACATGTACCCTACACATTTAAAATCACTTGAACCTAAGCGTAAGATGCTTAACCGTTTATCACCCATTATTTGATTTTGTTTTCAAAATTTTTGACTAGAAATAAAAAAGATTATATCTAAAATTCTCATAACATTTGATATTCAATTTAAGTAATTATGGTAATAAAATTAGCATTATTAAGTATTTTCAACTTTTTACAAAAGAAAAATAATTAAGAAAGTTCAATATCATATATTTTAGTTACTCTTTTGATAGAAAAGCGTAGTATATGGTCCTGTCAGGTTAGGATTGGCCCATTGAGCAACCTAAGACTGAACGTCTTCTTTTACATGCCAAAATTATTTGCTCAAACCCTTAAAATTAGAATTTGAAATCTTAACCAGACCTAGCAAACTGAAAGAAAAAGGATATCAGTACTTGCGCACTAAACTAATATCAGCCGAGGTCCATGATGTGCATAAGAACTTTAACCAGTTGTTGCTTGAATGGGAAGACTTAGGTGTTGTTTTGGCGTTGCTGTTAGAATGAAAAAAACACTTTAATACGTAGAGCTATCATTAAATTGTTGTTAGTGTTAGGTGTTTGGTGATCCATTATATAAAGTACTTTTTAATTTGTTTGGTAACAATATTGTTTAAAGCACTTATAGTACTAGTTTTACAAAAATAATGTTGTTTAATGGAGTTTTACTACATTTGATAATAGCATAACTTTATAAAAGAAAGGATGAATTGTCTTTATAAAGAAATATAAATGGATAATATTAACAACCATCTACTCCAAAAGCTTAAGCTGTTAGAGAGGGTGTAACTTTAATATTTAAATTCTTCAACAGATAAAATTGTCTAATGAAAAACAATTACTAAAATATGAAACCTCTGTTCAAAACACAGTTTTAAAAGTTAAATTTTTTAGCTTCATTCAAAAGCTATAATGACCTAAAATTGGTAACCATTAAAAGTGCTTTTAGTAGTTACCAAACACATCTAAATGCAATTTTAAAATAAAAGCGCTTTTAAGGGGTTGAAAAGCAATCCCAAACAGAAAGTATTGTAAAAGTTTAGTACTAAATTAGTAGTTTAAGAAGCTGAATTTTTAGAACTTAACCTTATTAAGAATAAAATTACAAATTGATTTTAGATTTTAAAGCTACATTTCACTTGATGTATTGAGCACACAAGTCACCTTGGCTGACTTACAACTCATACTATTTTTAAGTGAACTTATTTATTTATTTGTGGCTCTAAATAATTTTAAGTATTTATTGCTTATTGTCGGGCAACATCTTTTAGTCAATCTGGGGGTGACATGCTAGAAGGAACCCTTTTGCAGTAAAACTCAGTTTTCTAAAGCGTATCTCGGACAATTTTAGGATGGCAATGAAGGGGCCTTCTTGTTGGTTGTCTTTACCTTAATGAAGAGAACTTTAAGGGCAGTAGGGTTGGAGTAAATAGGAAAACAACCTAAAGCTAAGAAATACCATCAACGCTTTCTGTGCCTTTGTTATTCACTCAACAAATTTGCCTCTTTATCGAATCACATGTTGTTTAGCAACTGAATTTGGTACTTATTTTGAATAAGTTGAGTGGTCATCCAATTAATTGTGTTTGTAATACATTTGGATATCACTTTTGAGTAAATTTCACTTAAAACGGGGTAAAATTTTGAGTGAGGAAGACTTGGTTTATCATGAACACTGAACACTTAAAATCCAAAATGTGTCAAGGAAGTTCTTTTTAATATCATCACTTAAAACTTCATCATTTTAAATCCTATTAACCAATATAGTGAGGTGATGTGGCCTTATGATATAGTGTTATAGACGTCGAAAAAGCGTTCCGATCGAACAATTCACATGATGCATGGCCAATAAACTTTCATTTTTGTGGATCTTCATTTTGAAGGAAAATTTGACTAAACACTTGGACTATTTAGTCAGCATGTTTAGCATTTTAATGTGACATATGGTCCCTTCCAGCTCACCTACCCAGCTTCAACCGGGTGGTTGATCTTGGGCCTAATACTTGGAGAATGCAAGTGCTGAAAACTAAATTGAAGGGAAGCGGAGCTAGGTATTTACTTCTTACTAATGATCCCAAATTAAAAGAAATAGATTGAATTTGTTAATTGAATTTTAGAAAGAACTCATTGTTAGAGTCCAAAAATTTGTAGATATTATTATTGACAAATTAGACAGAATTTGAATTTCACATAAATTGTAAAATGGAGGTACAAATTTGCTATATGAGGATTTTAATTCTTGTACCTTGACAAGAAACATATTCATACACCTACACACCCACTTTGCCTTTGCGGGGACTTGAAGTCTTGACCTTCTACTTTGGAAGTCGAGGAAGTACCACTAGGCTATAGCCTTTGGTATTTGCTATATGATGATTGCTCACTAAAGTGTTTAAACACGCTTCTGATGAGGTTCAAATCATTTGCTTGGTAATCACGCCAAATTTATTACAATTATTTATTTATATATACCTAATTTGAGTAGCATGCTGTAAATTCAACTTCTATCCAGAATTTCCAAAGGTTTCATGGAAATATAGACACTACTTTGCCATTAGTAAGTAGTTTGTTATTGTGTCTTTGACTATTCAATTTTATATAGAAATTTAAAGGAACGCCTTTCTCCCCTTTCTTTCTTTCTTATTGTACAACTCCCTTATTTAATACTTGTAATATGTAGAAATTCCGTTGAAGAACAGCAGGTTGTGGCATTTAAAAGAAATCTAGTGCTCTAACAAGAGTAGATAATCCTTGCTTATCAAAAAAAAGAAAGAGTAGATAATCCTTATCTTGGACATGGCAACACCATGAAACATTATTACACTTGACTCTAATTAATTCATAATGAGAATATTGTAAGCACAATTGCACGTGTTGAGACAACGAGAAGGGTTTATAAAACCACTTTCCGTGTTAGGGTGATTAGCTAATCCCCTCTCATTTAAATTATTGGCTTCATAATCTGGCCCATAGATTGAAGATATAACAGAGCTTCCATGTTAGGGTGATTAGCTAATCCCATCTCATTTAAATTACCATCTTCATAATCTGGCCCGTAGATTGGAGATATAACAGAGTGGATTCGAGAGGTTATAATGAGAATATTACGAGCACAATTGCACGTGTTGAGACAACGAGAGCGGCTTATAAAACCACTTTCCATGTTAGGGTGATTAGCTAATCCCCTCTCATTTAAATTATCGTCTTCGTAATGTGGCCCATAGATTGAAGATATAACAGAGTGGATTCGAGAAATCTTCCGTCAAGAACTCTTTTTAGTATTACTTCACACCAACAAATTCTTCAGTCAATAAATGTTAAATGGTGTCATTACGGTCAAGGTAAGATGCTTATCTTTAGTGTTCACAAACTTGCTAACCTAGTTTAGAATCACACGAAATGTAAAGGTCACCATTTGTTGTTGTACATGTGTCTGTAGTTTAGTAGTTGTTGTGAATAGCCAAATGAGTAACCACAATATATTCCCCTATTTATAGTTAAATGTATATGATTTCTTCATCTATATAAGCACTGCACCAGGTTTTCAAGTAGAAACCTAAATTTTTATAGAGGGCACTTTATTCATTATCATACTCTAATCAATGGATTTAGAAGATTTTTTTATCAGAGAGATATCCAGAAAGTTAGAAGAGTTTTATGAAGTAAAGAAGGAGAATCGCAAGCGCGAGATGGCGCTACTTCTACATGGATACATGGTCAATGGAAAATTTCCTGAAATGCTTAGTCCAGAGGACCTGAAAGATCTGACTAGCTTCATAGATGAAAAAATTGAGGAAATTCAGCACAAGATTGATATCCTTAAGGGTTCTGGCTCTACGTCAGTCACTAATGAGAGCGAGGTCAAGAATGGAGCTACTCGTGGAACGGAGAAGGAATCTCATTGAAGTTGATTGATTATCGAGCTTCTTCTGTGTTGTGTTTGTTGGTGATGGAAGTGTTTGGTGTGTTGCTTTGCCTTTGAATAAATGTTTTGCATGTTGGTGATTGAAGTGTTTGGATGTGTTGCTTTCCCTTGGAATAAATGTGTAGTGTTTGGTGTGTTGCTTTGCCTTTCGATAAATGTTTCAAAATTTGTTACTCCATTTTAAGTCTTGCATTTTTGGTAATGCCTTTAATCATTTGTGTTTTGTAACTTGTACAAAACACACGATTTAAATATTAATTATTAAAGTTACATCTACGTCTGTTTTGTTACGGTTTGTTTGTCAATCTCAACTTCAAATACTAAAGTATTTGTTTGCAGAAATTATATTAAAATGTTTAAGACATCACTCAATCTTGATCTTACCGCTCCTAGTCTTTCAGAATTATACATCCCTTATTTCCCTTTGTGGTGGTTCCAAGTTCCGAAAAAATTCTTACCCTGAGGCTTCATGGAATAAAAGAGAAAATTTCAAATGGGCTGAGACTATATAAAAAAAATTCATGAAATGGATAAAACTGACACATTTATCTGTATATAAAGTTGTGATCGGCCGAAACCATGTAAATTTTTCAGAATGGAACTCAGGCCAAGATAAATCTGGTCTCTCCACAAGGTATATACAAAAATCATACAATTTCAGCAGCACAAACACAAAAGGGGCAAAACAAAAAGAGTTGAGTAGCTTGTTCTTGTAAATTCTTTTGTGTAAATACAACAACAGTCCGACATTGTTCATGTACAAACACACAAACACAAAACCTTTCCACTCTTTTTTTTTTTTATTATTTTTAATTATTTTTTATTATTTTTTTTTTTTTATCACCTTTGATTTATATATATATATTTTTACACCTAAACATCACCTTTTTCTTCAATTTGAGAGTTCAAATCACATGATAGAAAGAAGTGAAGTATAGAGAGGTTCCCAAGCGCAATTTAATTCCAACCCCCTTTGTCAAATGGCTTGATATTTCCTTTTTATAGGTGACTCTTGGGCTGTAAATGAGGTCAGACCCGAACATAAGGACACCTGGTTGATTGCACCCCGAGCTCCTTTGAAGAAAGTTTTAAATCTGAAGTTCCAACTTTCTGGCACACATCCGATCGATCGGATCAATCGGATTCCAAACAGTGATCCGATTGATCGGTTCTTCTTGACTTTGACTTTTCATCTTCTCTCTAATTCCTCCCCAAAGCTTGGCATCTTTAGATATTTAAAGCACTGGAATTAATCCTGTTGGATCTTAAGTACCTGAAAATGGAGAATAAAACAAATCAAGACTAAAACGAAATAGTAAAGATATGATAAAGTGCTTACTAATGTAAGAATAAGGACTGAATTGTGCATATTTCAGCACTTGTCAATGAATCATATCAGCCAACCTCCACTTATACCCACTCAGGTACTATTGTGTTTGTACATAGCGTATTTACATCTTTGACACCATCCCTTCATTGATTCTGATGCTTTAAACAACCTGACTAGTATGTCTTCACCATTGATCATTGATTCTAGTGCTTTAGACATTAGACAATCTGACTGGTATGTCCTCAATCTTCCAATCTTATAGTATCCGCTAACAAATATATATTGTGAATTATTAAGAGAATGAAAAACAGAGTAATGCATTGATGGTATAGTGAATTTCTTACAACCTTAGTGTTTTGAAAGAGGCTCAGGACTATAAAACCCTAAAATGAATTCAGTATAAGGGCAACATACCCAGAAATACATATATAAAGGGCACATGTTTCTGTACAACCCTTATGCTTCAGTTTTCAAATTTTGTTAAATGTTTTAGAAGCTTTTATAAGGCAGGTGGTACCATGAACTTGATTAAAGTTCATGATCATTTAAATCACTGTGTCAGGTTGTAAAAAAGATGGCTTCTTAGAATGAACTTCTTACTGTAATCAGGGCGAAGCCAGAAATTAAATCCAGGGACACAGTGTAAAAAAATATAAAAAATCAGTAAATCTGATAATAAATATAAATTCTTCAAATTAAGAGACAAAGAAAAAAAAAAAATTACTCAAAATAATATGACAATCAATGAATAATTTAAGAATGATAAATAGTTAACAAAAATTTTAAAAAGGAAAAAAAAAAAATGAAAGAACTTTGAAAAGAATAAAATTGGACTTTGATTCAAAAAGGAAAATTTAATTTTTTTAAAAAAAGAAAATTAAACGAATTTAAAGAGTAACAAAGAGAACAAATACAAAATTTTAGAAAGCACATTATATGAATTTTTTCACATATACAGATAAAAATACATAAATTTAATATATGTATTATAATAAGCGGTCCACGTGCCCTCCGGACATACACCGGCCCCCTTGACTGTATCAGCCAAGACAATTGTGGTATCAACAAGCTATATACAAAACTCGTACAATTTCAACAGCACAAACCACCACCCCTGGGTCCACCTTGGGAATTTTATGGATTATTGCCCGGTGCACCCGGTAGTAAATTATGGGGTAGTCTAAAATGCCTGTAAGAAACAAACAAACAAGCAAAAACACAAAAAGGGCAAAACAAAAGGGTTAAGCAGCTGTTGCATTGTTGTAGTAAAATTTGGTGTCAATACAACATTCCAACATCATTCATGTACAAACACAGAACATAAACCCTCCTACAACCCAGAGTATATTACAAACCATAAACCCCATCAAAAATAACATCCCCACGACTACCACTGGTCTCAGTCCTACACAGTATTGATATATTACAAGTCATAAACAAGCTTTCCTGCACTGAAGAAGCTTCCACTTCCATCTATATCTTCCTCTCTATTGCCAAGACACTGCAAATAAAATGCAATCAGTAGCCATGAGAATTATAACCCGGTTGAGATTTTTCCGAACTTGCAACAAAGTTTAACATAGACAAGAGTATGAATCAAACTACCACCACGTTGCGTCCAGGAAGAGATGTCTACTTTGTTAGCTCGCTGTTTGAAGACGCTGTCCCAAGTAGACAAGGTGCCAAGTAAGAGCCATGAGGGTGACAATGTTGAGGAAGGAGGAATAAGCATTCAACTTCTTGAGCCTCTCATTCAGTCTTTCTAGTCTCTCTGCCTTTGATGCTGAAGATGTCGTGGTGGTTGCACCGGTCACAGAAGGGGCTGCATGATCAGTGCCGGGGGCGGTTACCTTGCTGCTAGGTTCAGCAACGGAATCTCCTTCTCGTCCTCTCCCTTCCTCCTTCTCTATCTTCAATTTCTCAAACATCACCTACTCATCATTTTGGACAAAGGGAAATAAAACTTATTAAAATATTTGTATATATGTGACATTGGCATATTCAGACTTCGAAATAAGACGTGATCATAAGCTACATCGCTCAATCTCGAGCAAAAAAATTACTATGTTAATTTGTAGTCATCTTCTCGTCACCATTGATTGATCATTTCCTATAACAAGGACTACTACATGACTAAAGAGAGTAATTTAGCACTCATTCATTTTTCAAAATCAAGAATAGAGGGAGCACAAAAAACTCAATTCTGGCTGCAAAGGGCATGCCTCTTTTGATGAATAAATGGAAATATTACCCTGTCAATTTCTGGAAATGTTATTTTTACGCGTTATCTCAACCAGAAGTGATCTATATAAACCAATTATCCAATTATTCCATCAACTTTCCGGGATATCTTTCAAATGTGTGTGCCCAAACCCCTCAATGGTACAAAATCAAATGCTAGAAAATTCACTTCTAATAGATAATGCAATTAAGTAGTTCAATACCATAGTTCCCGTTATTCCTCTAATAGGTTCATTAGCTAAAGCAAAATTTTGTAATATATTAGGGCATCCGATTAGCAAGCCGGTATGGACCGATTTATCAGATTTCGATATTATTGACATCTTTGGCCATACATGCAGAAATCTCTCTCATTATTATAGCGGATCCTCAAAAAGAAGCCAACTCCAAAACATATTTCCTTTGCCATTCATTCGAAAATGAATGCCAAAAAATAAGATAACAAACATGGAAATGTCGTGTATTACTTCCATAGACCAGTTGCATTGTACCGGAAGCCGTATGAGCATAAAATGGAAAATTAAGATCCAATAACATCATTTTAGTTTTTCAAATGAACAGATCAATCAGAAATTGCGTCTCCCACCTATTATTATTAAACGTCAAAAAGTAAGAAAAATCATGTTTCACCTTTCTCCAACTTCTTGGCAATAAAAAAAAAAACCATATAATAACCACCCCAGAATACATCCTCTGTTTCCATCGAAACCAAAAAAAAAGTTAATCCATTTCCTTCCACAATAAATCTTCTAACTGGAACAAAAATGAGGTTTAGTTCAAGTTCTCAAATACATCAAATGTTACAAGCTTTATTCATTTATTTATTTATTTTATTTTATTTTTTAGCCTGGCAATGGTTAGTAGTTAGTTGGGGAAGGGGGACTTGAATCTAAGATCAATAAGGTGGGGGCACTTTAGATGTATCCCTTTTATCATTGGGGCAACACCGTCACACCTCAAATGTTACAAGCTTAGTACTACATGTTTTTGCTCTGAAGTGTAAAAGCCATAGTTACTCATATAATCAAGAAAAAAAGTACCAAAATTGATAAGCCATAGTTGGTCATAGAATCAAGAAAAAAGTACCAAATTGACTATAAAATTTTGTATACACTCATGAGTAGAAAAATGCAAATTACATACCTTGGTGGCAAGAGGCTCCAAAAAGTACAAATTGACCAAAATATTGAAAAATGCTACAAGAAGATTATAGCACTGAAACATCTCAGCCATGTTTGAGAGCAAGCTCTTCCTTTGACTCAACAAATGCCCCAACAAAGCCACCCCAACAGTACAAGCCATAGCCCTAAAATATATGGGATACATTTTGCTCTGCAACATAGCAAATTGCTGCCTAGGCAAAGCCTCAGCCAGAACATAAGTGGAAGCAAATGTCACCCACATACACATCCCATACGCCGTCGAAAACCCGATCAAATGCACCACACCACACAGCAAATCCACCGTCTCCGGCCACGCCAAGTACGCCGCGGCGTCGTGAACCACCTCCCCACTCCGCCGGAGAATGTCCTTCAACTCCTTCAATTCCTTCTTCCCCTCCTCTTTAATCCCATGGGCGCGCTCTTTTGCAGCAGTGTCTATCGTTTCTTTCGCTCGTTTCGCCGCCTTCGCGGCCTCTTCCTTCACAATTTCCGCGTCCACGGACACATTTTTCTTCACCTCTTTGGCCATGGTCTTCGATTTCTCGACTATAATCTCCGCCCCGTGCATCGCTTTCTCAGCAGCCTCTTTAGCCCCTTCGTGGGCTTTTTCGGACACCCTTTGCGCTTCACGTGACACCTTCTCTTTTGCTTTTCCTAAAGCCTCGGCCACAGCCTCTTTGGCCCCTTCTTCGACCTCTTTCGCCTTTTCTCCGGCTTTATCGAGTGCACTTGCCGTCTTATGCTTGCATTTGCCGAAAGCATCACACACAAGCTCTTTGGGAGTTCGAGTTTGGCCATTTGGACCAGAAAGGCCTTGACCGACGTTGGGAAGAACAGAGGAGGCTTCTTTGATCTTGTCTTTCGCCGTCTCGGCGTACCTCTCGTCATCATCAACATGAGATTGTTGTTGATCTTGATGGGGTGAGATTGAGACTTTGGTGTTTCCATCTCTTTTTTTTACATCGTACTCAACAGTGACCACTCTGTGGCCTTCCTTCACTATGATTCTTGGACTATTTGGAGGAGGAATAGGAGGGCTTCGCTGCTTCTCATGATCTGGGCTTGGGGACCAAACACCTGCTGTTGCAAGTGAAGTCAGGACAAGACCCAGCGCCAAAATGTTCATCATCTTCGATCTTTTTTTACTCTCTCTCTAGATTTCTGTTTCTCTCTCTAGAATGACTATTCTGAATGTTGGGGAGTGTTTTGAGGAGGGGGTGTGTGTTGGACATAGAAAGCGCCCACGTAGCTTGATGCGGTTAGAGAGGGAACACGTGTACTGCTGCATGGAGTAATGTTGTGTCTCACGTGTCTTCTTTTGTGATAATAGTTGGCACTTTATTTTGCCACCGTTGAGGCTAGAGAGCTTCATCAAATTTTTTTTTTTTTTTTTTTTTTAAATACAATATTCTAGTGTGTTCTTTTGGTACCATGGTTGACAAATACGATAATCGATGTATTGTTGGGCTAAAGTCTTAGTCCTGGTCATCCTATTGTTGGGTTTATCTATGTATTGCCTTTTGTTGGGCCTTTAGCCCATTCCACTAATTGTGGCCCCTTGTACATTTTTTTATGGAGTATACATGAATTTTCAAAAAAAAAAAAATTATTTGATTCATTATTACCCTTAGAAAATATACGATACATGTGATATTAATTTAAGATATAATAAATCTTATATTAATATTTTATGAGATAAATAATATTATTATTCAAAATAATTAATTAAATATACTATTCAATATTTAATTAAACATACAAAATAAAGCAATAAAACAATAATAATAAGTAAAGAATCTGGATCAAGGTTAGTATTGGATAAAATGTCCCATGCATAGTACAGACAAACTCCACACTAATTGTCTCCCAGCATACAATGGTATGTATCTACCAATAGCAATAATCTAAACTCGTGGATATGATGAACCTCCTTTATGTAATACTTCCTCTATTATATAAATGATATTGGGTTCAATCCAAACCATTTGGCTCGAACTAATTTCAATATGGCTCAGTGCCCAAGGTTTTGGGTCAAAATGGCTTGAACCACTTGACCTATGGTTTGAACCCCATTTGGGTTGAGTTCAAGTCTAGAGAAAGAAAGAAGAGTTCTGAACCCTACATATGGAATTTCAGAATTGGATAACTTTTCAATTGGCCGCGACTACCAAAGTGTATGTTTTAATTGCTATCAATATCATTATCTCCGGTAACTTCGTCGCTCTCCTGATCGAAATCCCTGATTTGCTGCTCCAGGCGAAGTCATTTCCAGTTTTGAAAACCAATTTGCAGAGTGTGGTTGTCAATATAAAGGTCTTCTCTTTTGGGCCTGGGCTTGTAAATTTCGAAATTGAGATACATGCTAGGGTTGACGGTGGACCATTTAGTGTAGCTTATTAGGCCTATTAGCTTTTGTGAACGTCTTTTGGTTGGGCTTTGGGCCTAAGCCTGTCCAAGAATGTTTGGCGGGTCTAGCCCTTCAATATATTCATAGAATTCTTGTTCATATTGGTATATTATGATAAATTTTGCACCGACTGTCAAGCTATCTAACACAACGCTCCTCTTTTATTCGGACTTGAGACCGAGGTGTGGAAAGAACACAAGCCGAGTTTTCAATATATATAAATATATCTATATATATATTCTTTCTGTTGTAAAATTCCTGTCATTCTTTGGTAGTTTGGTAAGGTTTGAAAGTGAGAATTGTGATTGAATGGATTTTCAACTGTGAGTTGTATTCAGAAGTAGAAGTTTCTCAAATTTCTTTTGAATGAGTTTCTAACATTCAGAATCTCAAATGGATAATCAAATTAATATCAATATATTTTTTTCATGTGTAAAGTAAAATTTTAATTGCGAGATATTTCACTTAAAAAAATACTAAAAAAAATTCTCAATTTATAATTACTTCTTAAATATCAGTATATAAAATTCAATACCTAAAAGTATCAGTATTTAATTTTCAGGTCCATCCTACAACAGTACCTCATGTCCTGTTTTGCTCTGCATATTTGAATCAATTGTCCACACAGTAGTCAAGAATTTCGTCCGATGTGTGATGCCCATGGTTTCATTTGTGTGAAAATGTTTTTTTAGTAGTCCTATTACTTTTTGCTCTTTTTCTTATACATGCGTTATATATATATATATATATATATATATATATATATATATATATAGCGGCATACATACGCAATCACATGAATTTTTTAAATATTGGTCTTATATTTATTTAAATTGTCCAATTGATCCAAACTTGATAAATTTAAATTATTTAACTAGTCCAGTTAAATAAAAAAATAATTATCCTCAACAAAATATATTTGGAAATAATTATCACAATATAATAATAATAATAAATTACATATTATTATGATGGTGTGTTTAGAAAGGACAAATTGAGCTAATAGTGCATTAAAAGCTTTCATTCATCCTATTCATTCAAAGAGCCTAGAGAGAGAAGACTAAGAGAATATCAATCCTCCAAACTCAACATTCATTCTCTCTGATACTCAACTCTTGAAGAAATACATCCAAAATCATGCGGCTCTTTTTCAAATTTAACAAATTCTTTGAAAACAAAGAATAACAAACACATTCAAAATCGTGTCATTCTTTCTAAAATTCAACAATAAACAACAAACACATTAAAATCATATTCTTTTTTCGTGATTCAACAAGTTTGAAAAATTAACAAACAACATTGTTTGAGATCAAGTTTCGTCAGCACTCGATCAAAAATCCTCGGCGATCTTCCTCAACTACAAATACTTGAAGAAGATTGTCAACAATTCGATTCAAGATCAAATTCTAACAATCCTTGAATCCAATCAACGAAGGAGCTCGAATCAGATAATATATATATATATATATATATATATATAAAGAATATTTCAAAAGATTGTACTAACAAATTTTTATAAATTAATAAAATTATTATTTGTTTCATATTTCCTTCTTTAATTTGCAGATACAAAATTTGTGTGTACGGGGAGATTGAGAGTTTATGTACTGTTTTGAGCAATATTATGAAATTGTATGCGTTTAATTGATCTTTTGAAATATATTATTACATGTATAATCAATTAAGGCAATAATGGACATGAGATAAATTGGTACATTTGCTAGTACAATAGTAGGTATTCTGCATTCTCTAAAAAACTGGTAGCAATTAAAACATACATAATAATACTAAGAGTACCAAGTAAGATGAACATATTAAATAGCAAAATTTGATTAAGACCAAGTCCTTGCAACAGGTGTTGTACTGAATCTCACGATCCACATCACATGTACACTTGAGTCTTGAATGTAGTATTGTACTGTAGAAGATTCGGACTAACAATCAAATCATTCTAACGGTTTACATCACACATACATGTGAGTGATGAGGATCCTTGAATACAGTATAACACGTGTTGTACTGTAGAAGATCCGGAGTAGACGGATGTAATACTCGTGATTTATGTATAATTATATTTTTTATATATCTATATCGTTATTTAATTAATGAATACTTGAGATAAGGGATTGTCTTTTAAATTTGAAGGAATCCTAGATTATCTCAACTACTAGCTATCACTCTATTTATATATTACACCTTATATCAGTAGCAAGGGGATACATATGATATTCTATTTAAAAAAAAAAAAAAAAAGAGCAAATCCGTGCGTGCTCAGGCCCAAAGCGGACAATATCATACCATGTGGTAGAGTGGGTCGTTACAAATGGTATCAGAGCCTGAACCAGTCGGAAGTGTGTCGATGGGGACGTCTGGCCTCTAAGGGAGGTGGATTGTGATGACCTTGTTGGCGGGTGTGCCGTGGGCGGGTGCGAGAGACACTGTCAGGCTACCACACTGGTGAGCTACGGGTGCACAGTCCCACATCTCTTAGATAGAGGAAAGGTAAAGTGCTTATATGTAAGTGTGTCACCTCCAATTGGTATGAGGCCTTTTGGGGTAAAACCCAAGAGCAAATCTGTGCGAGCTCAGGTCCAAAGCGGACAATATCATACCATGTGGTGGAGTGAGTCGTTACAAATGGTATCAGAGCCTGACTCAGCCGAAAGTGTGCCGACGGGGACGTCCGGCCTCCAAGGGGGGTGGATTATGATGACCTTGTGGACGGGTGTGCTGTGGGCGGGTGCGAGAGACACTGTCAGGCTACCACACTAGCGAGCATCATACCATGTGGTGGAGTGGGTTGTTACAAATAGTATCAGAGCCTGACCTAGCCGGAAGTGTGCCGACGGAGACGTCTGGCCTCCAAGAGGGGTGGATTGTGATGACCTTGTGGGCGGGTGTGCCGTGGGCAGGTGCGAGCTCAAGCTCAAAACGGACAATATCATATCATGTGGTGGAGTGGATCGTTACAACGGATCACAATCAAGTCATTCTGACGATCTTTTGTAAAAAAATCCCAACTAGATGAATCAACCATTCTGACGGTCTACTTCACACGTACATGTAAGTGATGAGAACCCTCAAGTCTTTGGCAAAGGAGGGGTTAACACATGCAAATTACCCTGGCTTTGGGGAATTTAGAAACCAATGTCTCAATCACAATGATGGTTCCTTTGAATGCATGAATGTAATCTATTATGGTATGAGTAAATTTGCAATCTGCTTAACAATCATGAGGTGGGTTAATGTGGCCACATGCCCCATTGCATCCATTGCAAGTTAATTAGTACATAAAAGTTTCTGCTCTGTCCATTTACAATCATGAACGTTTGGTGTGAGGAGGGTCAAGCACCAAGGATCAAAATTCTACACACTTTTTGCGACAATCCCACACGAGCCTGAGCCTCTTATTCATTTTCATTCAATCAAGGCGGCGGGGGAACAAATCAAAATAAAAAATCTAATATTGAATTTAGGGATAATTAGGCTCGAATTGATGACTTTCATCGTGTCAAAGTGACACTCTACTCTTACCGCTAAGTCATATCCCTTCTCTGTTCCCGAGAAATAAAACTCATAAATCCTAAGACTTAATCATATTTGACTTTGAAATATCATTGTACAGCTGTTGAAGAAATTTTACATTTAATTAGGCGGTGAATATTAAAATACAAAACTAACATCGTTTTGATAATAGAGTAACAGGCTGTTTTATTTAGTTTAAGTTTGGAGTGTCAAATGCCGTGACATGTATAGTTTTACGAAACCTTGTAAAGAGTTAACATGGAATCTGAAAAAGTG